GAGCATGAATCCAATGTTCCAAATCAGCTGACCATGCATCACAAGAAGCAAGTGCCTGCTGTTACAACCACACTCACGCGAAGGGTTTTCTTTCGTCCCAAGCCAAGGGGCACCATCACTCCTTCCAGCATGCCATGAACCACAGGTATTGCAACTTGACTCTCTAGACATGTATTAGGTTGATAGGATTCACTGGAAATCAAAAGCTGGAGTCAAAAGTGCCATTTTTTACCTTGTCATTCACGAGGAGAGTCATCCAGAATAGACATTGACAGTTACAGACAGTGTTATTACTTGTTCTTGCCAAATGAAGCTACTGTCTATATGGCCTGTAAGCTTTTCATGCTTGAAATATATGAAGCTTCATAGGAAATTACTAATTGCCTGTTTGATAAGAAATTTGCCTGAGTTGCTCTGTCCAAAGCTGGAAAAGAAATACAAATTAATGGGTACTGGGAATTCTGGATTTCCAGTGCTCTCTTTTAATGATGTAAATGAAACCTTAATGACCTATTTGCTCAAACTTAAAAGTACGTATTAGTGTGGATATCACTGTCACAAAATTTTCTTTACATCCATTCAACATAAAGCTTTGCTTTTTCTTTTTTTTACTTATGGAACTCTCACTGTGGTACTTTGGTGTAACATACATTTGTACAACATGTGATGCTTCTCATAAAGGAAGATGCATTGAAAAGAAGTGAAAAATTGACTGTAATATCACTGTACCTGACTACCATCCATGTCTTCCTGGCATTTACTTTATTTATTCTTTGCATTTATTAATGCTTTGCATTTGTGTATATGTTGTGGTTTTTGCTTTGAAGATTTATTTATTTTCTATTTGTTTGCAATTGATTTGCTAGCTCTCATACAGCTTTTCAATATTCCAATGTCAGAGTGTGATCTTTTTTATGTTGAGATTTTGCTGATGGTAAATATTTTTGATGTGTGTGATGCTTAATTGAATTATACTTTTGAAGATTATGTTCAGCTGATTTTTTTCTCAAAAGATCTTCCTGTTCAATTTATATATTTTCTGATAGTTTCCTTCAATAAAAAGAAAGAATTCATGAGGTAAATATCAATTTATTTTATCCACGACTTCAATAAAATGCACATCACATAAGCAGAGATCTGATATCACACAATGCTACAGATTTCTTAGGAGCTCAGATTAGTTCAGATGGAATTATGAGTATATTGATGTCGGATGCTGCATGGAGGTTTTCAATTCACTTCCATATTTTCCATATGAGAACGCAGTTGCATGGAGGATGCCCCACAGGTTGCAAAAGCAGCTGCAGTGCAACTATCTTGGCTGAAAACGTACCCCTCTCCATAAAAACTGTTGTCATTGGTGCTCCAGTTGAGGAGTCTTGTGACTTCCATATCTGAGACTAATCCAAAGCTGCATATTGCCAGCTTTCATTGACCATGCCAGGCAGAATCCATATTCTTAATGACTGCAGTAATTGCTGGCGCTTTGCTGCTGTTTTTCCTAAGGATGGCAGTGTTCCTGCTCGACCCTCTGTCTTATACAAGGTGAGCATCTCACTGTTGCCATTAACGGTAATGAAGAGGCTGCTCTATTTTAGGTTGGACTCAGCATTGTGAGAAGCTGCAAAGAGTCCTCCAAGCTGGGATCATTGCTGGCTGAGGAGATAGAAATAACAAGTGGTAAAGAAAACAGCATTACCAGCTACCAAGGGTCCGCCTTGGAGATGGAACATACACGAGGAATGATGAATAGATTCAGACTTTCGCCATCACAAGGCCATCTGGTGTCTTTCATCTCTGGCCAATCCTGCCTTGCCAAGCAACTTGGTCGAGCAACAAAAAATTGCCTCGTGTGCGGCGGGCTTAACTTCCTCTCCGACCTTGCGGTCTCCACGGTGGCCTTTGTTTAAGTATCGCGCTACAAAACCTAAATGTCCGCAACAATGGTTCGTCAATGGTGTTGTATCCCTCTCGTCCTCACTGGCCTGTGTGCCGCAGCAATCGCTGGCAGCAGTTTGTTGTGCTTGGTGGAATTTACTATTCTGTGAATGCTGGATGGAACGCCCCAAGCACAATACTCAACGTGAGTAAATTCCGCAAAGAAGGTTGCAAAGGAAAATCATTCATCGTAAATTTAAAAAAAACGTATTTCAGCATTCAGCGTTAGAACTGCTTCGAGGAGAACCATCAGGCGTGAGGGAATGAGTATCGTTGTCATGAAGCAAAGAAAAAAAAACAGCTTGTACGTCCTTGCTTCTCTCTTACTCGGTTTCTGTTTTTCTGTGTTTATTTCGCGTATTTCGTATAGTGACCCCATGGCCAACACAG